ACGAAATCTTTGGCCGATTTGTACGACGGGAAAAAATTTGAAAACAGAACGCGATGACGCGTTGTTGTTGTCTATGTACGCGATTGATATTGATGATCCATTGATGTGGTGCCACGTTTCTCCGGCGCAGTCATCCGCACGACTCCGCTTTCAAGTCGCCGTCCTCTCACTCATTCTCCCTTCCCACTCGTCATCGACACTCCTTGCCAGCCTTATCCTACCCTCAACACACCAATAATCCCCATCAACTCCTCTCGGACCTGATAACCTCGCCACACAAAAACTTAACAAAAACCCCCCCAAAACCAAAGCCAAAACCAAAATGGGCACGACGCAAAGCACCCTCTCCTCCCCAGAAACGCTCCTCACAGCCGCGGCGCTCGTCGTCGGCGGGGCTGTCGCTGTTGGGTACACCGTCTCTGCCTCCACTTCTTCTTCGTCTCCTTCCGGGGCGGCGGCGGGCGAGGAGGCTAAGAGCAAGAGCAAGAAGAAGAAAGGCGGGAAGGAGGGGGCGGTGGGGTTCTTGCCTGTGCCTTCGACCCCTGGCCCCGACGCGGCGTCGACACCCGAGGCTCCCCAGGGGAAGCAAAAATCAAAACGCAAGGACACCAATAAACTCACCTCGTCCTCCTCGCCGGCCGACTCGACCCCGCTCCCCACGGCACCAGCACCCTCCTCCTCCCTCCCGGGCACGTTCGCAGACGAGCTCGACGCCGACGCGCAGGACTCGAAACCGAAGGTGAAGGCGCATTCGAAGAAAGATGGGAAGGAGAAGCGAAGGAAGGGCGTTGCGACTCCCACCGCTCCTACTTCTACTACGGCTGCGGCTACTCCCCACGAGGTCGGCACGCCTACACCGACGCCGCCTGCCTCCGTACCCGCCTCCGTACCCGCCTCTGTCTCCGTGGCTGCGTCGACGGCGGGGAAGAAGAAGTCGAAGGGGAAGAAGAAGGTGGCGTCTTCTGCCTCCACCTCTTCTGCACAAGCGGCGGCGGGTGGGGAGAGCACGGACGACGGGTGGACGCGCGTCGGGCCTTCTCTTGCTGGGCGTGCGGGAGGAGGGGGAGGGGATACCACGACGAGTACCAGTGCGAGCCAGCCGCCTAGTCTTAGTGTCACCGAAGAGGAGGAGGAGGAGGAAGCTGTTGGAGTGGAAGAGGACGAAGAGGAAGAGGCGGAGGAGATCCCGTTGCCTGGTATGCGCGTCAAGAATGGAGCAGGGATAAGGGACCGGCCGCCGAAGCGGCCTCTGGCGGAGAGGTTGTTGCCGAAGGGGAGGAAGACGGGGGTGGATGAGTGAGTGTGTTCTTCCTCCTTCATTGATTTGTTTTGTTTTTCGTCTTCGTCGTTTCGCTTTCTTCGTTCTTTCTCTCTGCTTTCTACGTACTTTGACTCCCTCCCTCCCTTCCCATTTCGGCCGCGACCCGACTTGGCTCCCTGTCCCCACTCGAGCCAATCGAATTGGCGTTCGTCTCTGGTTGCTACGCGTCCTCACCATGTGGGCCTCGTCTGTCTCGTGGGTGACGCTAAACGCACGGGCTCTCGTCTTGCCTTGGATCTCGTCTCGATCTTCCAATGTTCTCGTACCTTTTCGCATCATCGTAGCGTTTCCTTGGCTCGCTCACAAAATGTGGCTTTCTCCTTGTCTCCATATTCTCCATTTCTTCTTATTCTTCGTTCTCGAGACTTCCCTGATTTCCTTTCTCGATTCTCACTGTGTCCATCCACGAGCGGGGAGGCTGAGGGTTTGGGGCTTCGGCAGCGCACTGCATGTACGCCGTCGAAGCATCGCAGACACCCAACTCGACATCGGCGTGGACTTTCTTCTTCCTATGCATTCGCTGTCGTGCCACGTCACTCAGCTGGGGCTTTTTTCAGTCTTGCTGCCTTGTCTTCTTTTGGCCCTTCGCCGGGCATTCACATTGGGCCTCTACCTATGGTTACTTGCCATGGGTTTGCCCGCCTTGTCGTACCCCGCCCGCTGTTTCTGTAGAAACAAGGAGGGTTTGCGGTGGTGCGCCACGGGGGGTATGGATGGGACGGTATCATCGTCTTCTTTCTTCCGAGTAGTTGAAGAAGGTGATATGAGAGGCGGACGGCACCTACCCCTCGTCATGCACAGACGAGAACGGTGGCGATGGTCTGGCTGACGTCCTTGCCTTTCGCTTTTACTTCCCCTTCTCCGTTGGTCGTCTAGTCCCCGCTTCTCTGTTCGCATTCTATCTTGGCTCATTACCGTCGATTGCATCGAATCTTTGCCTCCGTTTTTCCTCCTAGCCTTTCCTATGGCCGTTCTTTCTCCTCCAAAACTTCGTTCTTCTCTTCTTCCTCCTTCATGTTCTCCCCTATTTCTGCCTGTATCTACTTCGTTCCATGAGGCGAGGGGACCGTCTGTCTTCTTCTACTTGGTTCTTCGTCCATCGTGCTTTCCTCCCCCGCCTCGCCGTCTTTGTATCCTCGCTCGCCGTCCCGCGGGTTGTTGCCGCTGGGGGTGTGTTATGTACGTGCCTGGGGAGGTTCGAGCGAGGTTATCTCTTTCAGCGGCCCACGCTGGAGGTAGGCATGCGAGAGGGGTGCCCGGACTGCACTTACATTCTGCATCCGCTCGTCATTCGTTGGCCGATGGTCTAGTTAATGACTCGGACTTCGTTCTCCTCTCCGCTGGTCGTCAAGTCGCTTTTTTATGCGTCCATACATCCTCTCCTCATCTTCCTTTCTCTCCCACTTTTCCTACCTTGCTCGACTGTCGTTCTTTCTTCTCCCTCCCCTTCGTCTTTTTCCTTCCTTCACTTCCTTCTTCCTTCTTCCCTTCACTCTCTCCCCCGTCGCTCGAATATTCCACTGACTCCGCTTTCTTTTTATCTTATACAGCATGCTCCCCGCCTCCTCCCCCGACTACCCCGCTCTCGCGCGCGTCATGCGCGTCGTCCCGGGGTCGTCATCTTCTAACCCCGGTCGTCAGCAACAAGACGAAGATACAGACGACGCGGAGACATCGGGACATGATGATCCCCTCACAGACGCGGAGGTGCAAGCGGCATTGAGGGCGGTGGACGAGGCGGACGAGATGGAGCGGGAGCGCCGGGGAGGGGTTAGTGGTGGGGAAGGTGGGGAGGAGCGGGAGGAGGAGGGAGAGTGGGGGTTCGTGCCTGTCAGGCGGAAGGGGGCTGGTGAGTGTTTTTCTATGCCCTCTTTATCTTTTCTCTCGAGTTTCTTTGCGTCGTCGTCCTTGGGGTGTCGAGATAGGTGTGCGACGGCGGCGGGGTCGGTCGTTGTTGGTACGACTAACCGCGTTTTCTTGTTTTTTCTCCGCTGCCTACCTCGACGATGGCGGGGCCCGTCGTTTCTGACGTTGTGGAGCTGCCGAGCGGGGTGTCTGCGTTCTCGCTCGCGTCGTGCCCTGGATCGGGTCGTGATGGGTGGATGTCGCCGTCTCTGGGGCTTGGGGTGTGAGCTGCGATACGATGGGTGACCTCGGGACGGGGGGATGAGGAGGTCGATCGTGATACCGATAACGCGGAAGGCGGGTGTTTTGACGTCTGCGCAGGCGTGGATGGCTTGATCGAGGGATGGGCGTCATCCCGGGGGTATCTTGGTGGGAGGAGACGAGATAACGCGAGACGAGACGCGAGATCCCGGCGTGCGTCCGCATAACGTATGGTATGGCGGTATTGCCTGGTTTGCAGTCGCGAGGCAAGGTGTAGAGGGGGCGGGTAAAGGCGGCGGGGATGTTCTTGATGATCGGCCGCCGAGTATTGTGCTCGTCGTGGGGTCCTTGTGTATATGAGCTCGAGACGAGCGTGTTCCTTCGTTCTCGAGTGTCGAGGAGGTGATTTGTACGCAGCCGTATGACGAGCGTCTTGACGGGCGATGGCGACTCGGGGATCGGCGCAACTGGCGGTGCAGGCATCGCCGTCTTAACCCTATCGCCTGCGAGGGCTCATTCATGCCTGGGCGCAGCGTCATTGTCGCCGTCTCGCCATCGCTCTTGGGCTAACTCTCTTTTTGTTTCTCTTTCTCCCACTTCATGCTCTCTCCAACGCAAAGCACTTACCCTTCCTTCACAGCGCAATCCCGCCCCGCAGGCGCTTCGTCTTCCTTCAGCGGTAGCACACCTTCAGGTGGGTCGCCTCCTCTTCCTCCTCGTCTCTCTTCCCAACTCACTAACACCGTCACCTCAGGCTCCGGCACCGGTGCGCAGTCCAAGAAAAACGCCAAGAAGCGGGAGGCGGCGAAGGCTGCCAAGGCGGCGCAGGAGGAGGCGCAGAAGGCTGCGTTGAAGGCGCATCGGAGGGCGTTGGAGGCGGAGAGGATGAAGGGTGAGTGGTTCTTCCTTACTTTGAGCTTCGTGGGCGTGTGGTTCGAAGGAAAGACGTGCGCGCAGATTGAGGCAAGGCGGCTGTGGATTCGCAGGGGATGGACTAGTGCCTCCTCATCTCGCCTTGCTGGACGGAGCTCCTCCCCGCATCCGCGCCGACCCTTACCCCGATCCTCTCCATGATCATTCTACTCCGTTTCCTACCGCCACTAACTAAACCCACATACGACAGCCCAATCACAAGCCGCCAGCAAGGCGTCTAATAACAATAAAGTCGGTGGGGGGATGACGGCGAGCGTGGATGCGGGTGGGAGGCTGGTTTGGGATTGATATTGATTGAGGTCCAGCAACGCCGGGTCCGGCGGGCGAGGAGGATTCATGCATTCGTGCGTCCGTACCGAGTTTCCGAATATGGAGGCGGAGGAATGAAAGCCACAAAAAAACAATCAGTTATTACATATCGATAAATACAGTACTTTATTTTAGTTTTCCTTTCGTTTGTACCGTTCTCTTCTTGCATTTTTCATTTCTTTCTTTCGTTCTTTGGCATGTTTTCTTGGATACTACATACAGCTACACTACTAGATATTCGTCGATTATTCGCTCTGAATTTGGAGAAATCGCACATCGTGTGGTTGGTCTTCATCCTGACCTGAAATTCAGTTGAGATGAGGAACATAATGGCCGCCTGGCGAAATGGCATCGCGTCTGACTATGAGACATGGTTTCGCGCGGCTTATAATCAGGAGATTGCAGGTTCGACCCCTGCGGTGGTCATGGGTTTCTGTTACCGAAATTTTTTATTGTTTCATAGTAGTACATTCATTGCTCCGGCCCCCTCACCTTTTTTCTTTTTTCCCCTCAGTCCGACTTCACTACCGACAAGCTCGCTGTTTCTGAATCTACAATGTACCCATACTCCAGACAACATCTGTATATGCCGACCAAGCTCGTGATCAAAGCAAAGCCATGCTATTTATGATACAAATGCAAATGCGGTCGACTCGAAATTTGTTGCTTTGTGTGTTATGTACAGGTATGTACTCGTATATGAATAGGAAGATAGTAAAGAGCGTGCTGTGACGATGATAGAGTAAAGTAGAATAGAATAGCGAGTGGTCTAAGTTAACAATTTGTACGAAGGAAGCGGTGGTGGTATGTATGATTCCAAGTTATCGTGTGAGGGAATTGTATTGTACTGTGAGAGCGCTGGACGATGGGATGCGGGTGGTGAGATGCTGGATGGGATATGTGCGAGCGAGACAAAGAGATGATGCGCAGATACAAAGCAAAGCAATGCGACGTGGAGCGAGTGAGCGATGGTTAAGGGTGGGGTAAGATAGATAGATAGGATAGATAGCAGACGGTGGTAGTGGTAGGATCGTCATAGACGATAGATGGAGGAAGCGAAGCGAGACACTGCTGACCGAAACGAAAGAGTCAAAGAAACTCACCCCCGTCCCTGCGTTGTCGGCGGTGTACCGCGCCACGCCCACGCGCTGCCTTCGCTAGCACTCGTGGAGCGGTATCTGGAGCCTGGCTGGGGTTCGCGAGATTGTCCGGCATCGAGTCCCCCTCGTCCGCCGCTCATGCGATGTGAAGAAGAAGAAGAAGATGGGTCGGCGGAGGTGGATGTCGTCGACGATTCAGCGACAGAGATCGTATGTATCGAGGGGAGGGTGACCGCCACAGTCGGAGAACTCGCACTCGACGTCAAAGCATCCCCTCCTCCTCGATGAGGACTGCCACTACGCGCTTCGATTTCGCCCGTCGCACGGCGGTGCTGGGGCTGCGGGCGGTGCGTACTAGTAGCCGGCGGGTACGACGCACGAGCGCGTGGGGGGTGTGGGCGGTGCGGCGAGGGAGGAGAAGGTGATATCGGTGGTGGTGGCGCTGCTGAACCGCCCTCGGGGGAACGCGAACGACGACGGGGTGGAGAGCGGGAAGAGGAAGCCAGGGCGCGCGATGCCGGGAACGCAGACGTGCGCCCTGGAGCGCCTGCGCGTAAGGATTTTTTGACGGGTCGGGGGATTCGTCTCTTCCTCCTTCGCGTGCATCTTCAAGCTCGCGTTTGCGTTTGCTGTTGTTCTTCATGAGATCGACGCTGACGCTGAGCTCGGGGCGAACGATGCGAGTGGCGGTTACGGCGCCTCCTCCTCCCCCGCCTCTGCCGCCGCCACCGTGAAACCCCGCTGAATACGGTGGAGGGAGTGACGAAGGGATAGAGAGCGTCGTAGGCGTCGCGGACGAGGCGGAGGAGGTGAACGAAGAGAGGGAGCCAGCGCTTGTGCGGCCGCCGGTTGAGGGGGCGAGAGAGGAGGAGGAGGTCGAGGCGGAGTACGTGCCCATGCCCATGCCGCCTTGGCCTTGCGCTTGACCTTGACTTGGACCTTGACCTTGAGACCCGATTCCGCCGCCACCCGCACCGCCGCCGCCTGCGTTCCCATGACTCGAATATGTCGTTGTTACTGGTATCGAGGGCGAGGAGGAGGAGGCAGAGTGAGGAGGGAATGTGTCACCTCCGGTACCCCATGACCCTTGGCCCACCGGGAAGGGCTGATGGCCTGCGGATGATGATACCTCGGGATGTGATGAGACGCTACCCGTGCGCCGTGCGCGAGTTTGGACAACAGGGGAGCCAGAGCCAGAGCCAGAGACGGAGCGGGCGTGGATCTCAGAACTTGAGGAAGGATGCTGCGAAAGCGTAAATGCGGCGGGGAGTGAGCCCGAGCCTGGCGGCGGCGCTCCGTGCATTTGGTGCTGCTGCTGTTGGGTGTATTGAGGGACGGAGCCGCTGCTTCGGTGTCGGAGGGCGGGCGAGGTGGAAGTGGTCGGCGAGAAGCTGGGACGGCGGGCGTGCGTGGGGGAGAAGCTGGCTGAGCGGGGGAGGGGAGGGTGTTGCTGCTGCTGCGGCTGCAGGTGAGGCGACTGGTGGAGATGCATTGAGGGTGGGATGCCGCCTGAGGACGAGGAGGGACCGGGGAACGATGAGGTGCTTGGAGAGACGAACGATTGCGTGCCACCGGGGGCGAAGGATTGTGGTATAGGAGCGGTGAATGGCTGAGGGGCGTACGGCGAGTGCGGGGAATGTCGTGGATCGAAGGGTTGCGGCGGGGCGATGAAGGGAGCTTGACTGGGGCCTGGGTATCCGTGGGGAAGGAGATGTGGGGGGAGGGGATGCGATGCGAGGACGTGGGGTGGGAGGCGATAGACGTAGTCTTCGAAGGCGTGGATGCGTGAGCGAAGGGCGTCTTCTAGCATGTCGACGCGTCTGTGGAGAGCGTCGTATTCGGCTCGGGGCACGTATTTCTCTGTACTGGAGAAGAGCGTCAGTATATTCGTTATGAGTTGGCCGAAAATAAGTTAGAAGATGATGAATTAACGCGACGCGAAAGAGAGATAAGCATCTGGAGAACGAATCGCCGCAATGCAATCAAATAAGCAATGTCCGAGAGGATTTCTCAGAACGAATGACGTGGAGACGAGCGTTAGGATTTGCGTTAGGATTTGAAAGAAAAGAGGTAAAAAGAGAATTGAGTAACGCGACGAGACGGTCAATCGAAGCGCTGAGATATGATAAAAGAAACGACCGAGAGAGTCTCTCAAAGGAGACTCTCTCGGAACGAATGACGAAAATGCGACGACTCACGCAGGCTCAACGACATTCCACTGACACTTCGCCTGGTCCCCCCTCCTCACACAAGGTGCACATGGCTGCGTCCTAATAAGCAGCGGTAACAACTTCACGTCAGTCATTCGGAAAAGGATCAAATAGATAGATGGATGGGATTCACCTGTCGCACCGGATCTTCCGCCGCTTGCACTCTAGCACCACCGTCCCGAGATGAAGATGAGATGCATGCCAACTACTACGACGGAGTAGACGCACCGGTACAGCTCAACGCCTGTCTGCGGCGTTTCTTCTTCGGTGGCTCTGCGTCACCCGAGGGGTCGCGCTCGTCTGCGTCCGAGTCGGCGTAAGAGGACGGGGGGTAGGCTCCATGTGCGCTGAACGTCATCATAGGCATAGGCATAGTCGGGGTGGGGAGTGTCGGCGTCGGGAGGGTGGTCGACTCCATCGCAGCGGGCGGCGGGAGGTACGGATGCAGCGTGCGGATGCTCGGCAACTGCGGCCCGGCGGGACGCCCCGGCTGCTGCATGATCTCGTCGTTTCGCAGCGCGTGAGCGCAGAAACCAAAAGCGAATTGGGAATTGGGCGCTGGGTTTATATGGGATCTGTGTAAGGGCAGCATCTGTTATGGTTAGTCCGCCGGGTCATATTCTGTTTGGGTTGTCTGCATCTGAGTGTTTCGTCGACGTCAAATCGGGAAGGGACGAGATTATCCCCGCGAGATTCCTTTTCGGTAAACGGTATCTGCTTCCGGCTTCCCTTCCCTGAGCCCCCCGATGTGCTTCCCATTCCCTCAATTCCCCGAGTGTCGTAATTTCTGAGCGAGAATGAATCCCGTGCTATCCCCGTTCCGTTCGGGAAGGAAGGCCTCAATCGGTTATTCTACATTATTTTCACATCAATGTCTATCAGACTCCCTCGACACCGATCAATATTAACGGCGAAGAAGGAGTTCCAGCGATCCTGCAATTTTTGAGCTCATGTTCAATTTAATTTTTTTTCTGGAACCACGGCGGACCGTTATCGCCGTGCGGGTGAACTGGTGAACACTCAGTGAATAATAAACAGTTTCACTTGAAGCTGCGCCGAGTAACTTAACAGCTAGATAGACGTGTTTCCGATTCGGACAGCCCGGCTACTATGCAATTTCATCACAACACAAAAGATCACCGAGACGGAAAATTCCATTCAACCCTCAAGTCATTCAGTGGAAAAGAATTCCTCAGGATTTTCTGCGCATTGCATCTCCGTTGATCTCTAGGTGGAGATCACCTCTGAATCATATTCTACGTGTTTTGGCTCCTGTTCGCGATGAACGAACGAACGGAAGCAAAAAATTCATATTGAAGTGAAATTTTCGAATGCAACGTCGATCTCTTCCATCGTTGAATGGTCGATCGAAACAGTTCTTTTGTTTCGCATTCATTCATTCGATTTTTTTCTTCGGTTTCTAAGAGATAGATGAATGTTGATCTCTAACAGGAAATCACCTCATATTCTGCGTGTTTTGGATTCTTTTCTCGAGCATGAACGAACGAACAACGGAAGCAAAAGAAAATCGTATTGGGATGAAATTCTCGACCGTCAATCTCTTGGTTGAATGCTCGATCGAAACAAACAGCAACGTTCTTTCTTTCTGCTTTCCGTTTCGCGTTCATTCTGTTTCCGTAGAGATGGATCAATGCTTCTGGAACTTTATCCTGAATGAATGCAATGCAAGCAGCAAAATTACCCAACGATCAAACGCGGGTGCAGTTCAACCTCTACCAATTCCACAGAAAAACATGTTTTCTGGGAGGCCAATCATAATTCTACACCTAGTGCGTACACCGCAAAATTCTCCAGCGATTCATGTTCACAGCAGCTGGATCAAATTCAGACCAAACCACCGCCAATCAGCTCATCATCAACCAAACACATGACCTCAACGTTACACAACGCTTGCTCTCTCCGTTCTCCACCATGTTCCGCCGACGCGCGATATCGAAACGGATCTTGTGCCCGCTGCCCTCAGCCCTGGATAATCCACTATACATACACCTCGCCTCGCTCCGTCAACTTGTCACCGTCGCCGTTATATCCGTCAATGACTCCAAAATTCAATTTGTCTGAGCCTCGTGGAAGCCGTAAAAAACGACACGCCATA